GCAACGAGAGTCAGCCGCCCCAGCCTCTTCGGCGTGGTGAGCATAATGCTGCGGCGATGCTTCCTGTTGATCCATCGTTTATATTTGACGAGGGAAGAGGCACCGTTCCTTTCACCCAGCAAGGCACTCAGCAACCAACGCTTTCCGCATCACGTCAGCGTCCTCGCTTTGCCACCGCGCAGGATCTTGATGATGCCCTTCTGCAAGCCATTGAAGGTAAGATTACCCGCAAGAATGCTTGGGTCTCGAAGGACGCTAGCAACCTGCTGGAGGGCATCACCCATACGGTTGAGAGCACATTAGATGCTGCAACAACTACCGACGAGTATTCCAGCTTTGCTAAGGTGGCAACTGTTGTTGAGGGCTGCTCAAAGGTCTGGACAAGTCGCGTTGACAGCACTTACCAGCGCTCCAACCAGATGGTGCGGCGTCTGCTGCGAAACGAAGAGGGCGGTGATGATGGCAGCGACGGCGAGAGAAATGTTGCGGATGATGACGGCAGTGGCGAAGGCCCTGCTGCTGCCGCTGCTGCTGAACGCAGGAAGAAGGCTGCCCAACGCCGCACGCAGTCGGTCCGCACTATCGCAATGGATCCGTCAGAAATCAATTTGGACGGCAGGGGTCGCATGACACTTGTTCACACGGGCATGAATGCACAGTTTCGTGCCATCACGGAAAAGTTTGATCAGGGCAACGCCCAAGGTCTGTTGCTGCACAACACACCATTGGGGAGCGCGGGAAATTTGATTCTCGACGTGGATTACGCACGCGATACAGGTCGGGATTACTCTGCGCGACGTATTCGACTCTATGGTGGATCACGAAAAGTCAAAGAAGAACCGGAGGACGAGGAAACGGTAACGTTCGCTGTTGCTGAAGAAGAGTTCGATGCTGGTCTTGACGCTCCCCTCGAATTACCTCCGTTCCAGTCTATTTTTTTGACAACAGCATCGGCGGGGCACAGTCCGCTTTCCGGCGATGGAAGTGTTAGTGGCAGTGGCGCAGGAGGTGGTAACAGACTGAGTGGCAATAGCAGCATGAATGCAGAGGAGGAGGAGGCCGGGCGGCCATCGATCATGTTGCCGTCGCTGCTGCTCCTGCCACACACGGCGCCAATACAGGCGGAGGAACTTGGAGGTGGTCATATGATGACTGCAGGGGAACCACAAGGCCAACCACAAGAAAATCCACAGGAGCTGGGGGCCGTTACCTCGCTCTTCCCTACAGAATACCAGCAACAGCAACAGCCTCCTGAGTATGATCATGGCATGGATGATGGGGACTGGGGTGGCGGCATGGATTACGGCGATGTTTGTGACGATGGCAACACAGTCGCCAGCGTTGGTGTTGCGGATGGGGGCGATGCAAATAGTGAATTTTTGCGCGAGCGTGCCGTGGTGGAGGCGCGTCATTTAGTCTCAGGAGCCACGGAGTTAAATGCCATGGACGGTTGTCTTTTCGGGGAAAATCGTCTGGCACTCGAGGCAGAAGACCCCACATCATGGTTCCCGCTTGCAGAGCCACCAGCAAATGCCTTGTTGGGTAGTGGAGCACACAAAAACTCCGAATTGCTGCGGCTGCACAAGGAGCACCGTGTCGTCCAGGCTTTTGCACAAACCCCGGGAGCCTCCACTCCGGCGAACAAACGTGTTAAGCGTGAGAAGACTGTTGTGTTTGACCTACCGGGCGAGCTGATCTCTACTTCTGCTGCAGGAGGCTCTGGAGATGGTGGGGACGTGGTGAGCTCCTTGTCCTCATCCTCGTTCCTCCTGAGCGGAAAAGGCTTTGACAGTTCAACCCTCAAGCAGAGCACAACTGTCGGAAAGAACATTACGTCAATTGGGAAGGAACTACTGCTCAGTAAGGATCCAAATGCCATTCTTGCATTTACACAGAGTGCTGTGCAGCGCAGCAGGGCGCAAGAGGCGGGGTTGTTGCTTGCAGAGCCGCCCGTACCCGGTAAAAGCATTCCGTCGTATCTTCCATTTCCAATCACCGTGCCGAGTTTCTTTCAGCCCTTTTCAACGTCGCTCTTGCAGTGGAATCTCTTGCGCAAGTCCGCAACGGGCCAAAATTTTGCACTCAGCAGCGCTGCACCGTCACGACGCGTGAGTGGCATGACTGCGAAGAATGACTGGGATACAGGGAGGAATGAAGACTCGCAGAGTCAATTTGGAAACCACGACGATGCAGATGGCGGGGGTAGCGGCTCCGGCACAGTCGGCGCCATGCCGGCGGAGTTTTTTTACGGCGGTGCTGAGGCCGACGACGAATTCATGGGCGCTGGCGGGTACGACGACTACGATGAGGATGGCGGTCGCGCTTACGGGGACGCGGAGGACCCGCTGCGGCAAGTGGAGGCGCAAATATTGTCAAGCTTCGAGCGGTTAGAGTTGGCGCAGGCAGCAAGCACCACGGGGACAGTGTTGAACGACGGACGCCGCAGCGGTGCCAATGAACTCGCTGGCGCTGATCCAATGAGGCTTGCGAAAGTCCTGCAGCCGCCACAAACGGCACTCCCGTCGCAGGTGGACGTTGCAAAGCTGCGGCAGGCGATGTGGGAGTTGTTGGACGACGCGATACAACGCAACTCCGCCGTCAAGGAGCAGTGCCACAAGAGGGAGGTGCAACAGAAAACGGCGGGTCACAAACGTCGCCGTGCGGCCAATGGGGATGAGGAAGAGGACGAGGACGAGAGGGATTCGGAGAGGCCGAGTGGGAACGATTTGCCGCGGTTCAGTGAAATTGTTATGTCAATTTTGCCGCAGGTGCCGACGATATCCGCCACCGGCACTCTCTCTCCAGCCTTCTTCTTTTTTTCCATTCTCTTCCTTGCCAACGAGCACGGGGTGGTGCTGGAGAGTGTTCCGGGGCTGGACGACCTCGTTGTGCGGGGCGTGAGCCACCCAACGACCCCCGCAGCCGCAGAGTAACAGCAAAGTGGAGAACAAACATTAGAACGAGGAGAAAAAAAAAGAGGGTGCAAAATAACATGCCTTTTGATATTTTTTGTCGTGAGGCCACGAAAGACAAACAAACAAACAAATGAATAAATAGAAAAATGAAGAGGAGGGGAAAGAGGATGGTTGAGAAAAGTTTTTTTCTTCTAATTCCTCACTTGCTTTCCGCGGACATACAAATGTTTTTTTTTTTTTTTTTTTGTGTGTGTGTGCAGGCGAGAGAGATCGTCAGCGCAGGAAATAGAGTTGGGCGATCCATCCTGGCGGAATGCGTGCAAGTATAGTTAAGCGTCCCACTACGCATACATACATGCATGAGATGCGTACGTGGTGGAGTCAGCGGCGGAGGAAGATTGGCGTGGGGCCGCGCCGCGCCGCAGTGAAGGACCGCATCACTTTTTAAAAACACCAACAAGAGTTGGATGAGGACTGGGAAGGGCAAACGCACATATATGATGTACACATGCATAGTGAGAGAGATAGAGAGGGCGAGGAAAAGTGAATGACAGAAAAATGTATCCATCAATCCTTCCCCACCTTTTTTTCATGCAAGGTTTTTTTTTATTTTTTTTTCTGTCCACTCTTTCTTACGTGACGCGACATGTTTTGGTTTTGCTATGAAGAGGATTAGGGTGACATGTCTTTTGACGGACGCAAAAGCTCCACCCAAGCAGCAAGAAGGAGTGAATAGAGGAGTCTTCAAATAGCAAATAGTCGTCAAAATACAGGGTGATTAGTTCAATTCAGTGGAAGAGGGGCAGAAAGCAAAGGCATTACGCGCGGCAACGAAGCAAGAAAATAAAGTAGGAAGGAAGAGAGGGCGTGTGCGTATAAGGGAAAGAAGGAGAGGGAAGATCAGAAAGACAGACGGGGGATGTCATTTCCACTACCAAAGAAGTATTATCTTCTTGTGCACGATGCAGCACGCAAAGTGCTCGGAACCGATGCGGAGATTTCCGCCTTTGTGTCGTCCAAACGAAAGTTTCAATGCGACATGCTCATCAACGCCAGCGCCACTGACCCCGAAATGACGGGCCGTGCAGGCGGCGGCGATCACTCCTACCAGAGGGAGTTTGCTGTGGGGTTGCAGCGGTATTTGGGCAGCTGCGATGTTGTCGTGCGTTCACGGCGCCTTGACGTTGTGTTCATGGACCGCGAGGTGCTGCAGCTCGCACTGGGTGCCCCACGGCGGGCAATCAACAACCTGCAGCGCGGGGAGGAGATCAATGGTGAGCCCGACTGGACTCGCCGCAACCGTCTTCGCATTTCACTCGGCTACGACGAGGACCTCTTTACTAACGTGTGTGATCTTAAGATGAACATCGCCGCCCGCCTGATGGAGAAGTTTGTTTTTGACACATACTACAACTCCACTTACCATGGGAGTGTGGAGCAGTTTATGCAGAGGGAGAGTCCACCCGTGACTTACTGGCAGGCGCACGGCTACACCTTGGCGAGGGAGTACCAGTTTGACCACCATGTGACTCTTGCTGGTACCATCTCCCAGAACTTTGCGAAGTACTATGGCGAGTTTGCCTTTGACAATCCCTACTGTCCCGGGGAGGACCTGAACACCATTTCCTCGGTGCAGTGGCTGTGCAAGGCGTGGAAGCAGATACCGATGGAGGACGAGGAGGGGAATGTGCGTGAGCTGCAGCTTGGCACAAAACAGCAGCCTTCACACCCTCAGTCGTAGAGAGGCTGGAATGTGTGCAAGTGAAACGGCGTAGTGCCAATAACGATGCGCATCTGCCCCAGACGGAGACGGCGTTGATGCACTCACTCACACCACGCTCCTTGTGCATAAATGAATGCGTACATGTAGGCAAAAATCCGTGACGGAGGTATCATTCAGAATTATTTTTCTTTTGTTCGCTTCTATTCTCGGATGCACATTTTCTCGCTTTTATCTGCTTATCGTGCTTTATCCCACCTAGAGCTAATATAACGAGCGAAGGAAGAACAAATTAAACAGAAGAAGAAAAGAAAAAGGGCGCATTCACACGGGGAGGATAGGCGGATAGGGGGTAAAGGAGAGAAATGGGCGCGACGCCTGGCGATGGCTCTAAAAATGCCGAGAGTAGCCGCCGCCGCAGTAATACAAAGACCAATGACAATGGGGGAGTGGTGCCTGCACCTCCGTCGAGTTCCTCACCAACACCTCCTCCTTCAGCATCCTCCTCCTCCTCCTCCTCCTTCCCCACGGAACCGGCAACGACAACCAAAACGGAGGTGTCATTGTCATCACCGAGCCGTCGGCTTGCTCTTTTTGGTAGTCGCGCGCTCGCTGCCGGCAGCAAAGGCCGTTTACCGTCTTCTAGCTCTTCCTTTAATAACACGGCTTCTTCTTCGTCTTCCTTGCGTGCGCAGCAGCAGCAAGGTGTGACGGCGTTTGGTTCTCTTCGTAGGGATCTTGCGGCGCACATTCGCCCGAGCAGTGATTTGTCGTCGCAGGGGAAATATCTTGTCGTTGGTGACGGCATGATGGCGCCGTTCATGGCACTTTGTCTGCGCGTCCACGGCTTGGACTGCGACCTTGCCCACCACTTGAGCAACAACGACATGGACCGCGGCACCATTGTGCTCACCCCTTCTGTCACGCAGGTTATGGGCGACGTGCTGAACGTCTCTGTTCCAAGCGGGAGCGTAGTTGGTCGTATCTTGACATTTGACCACGTTGGGAATGACATGTGCGACGTGGATTTGAATGAATTTCGCGAGAAGGGTGAGAGCCCGACGTTTTTCTGCTGCGATCGACTCAAGTTGGAGCGGGCGCTGCTGTCTTTGTGCGAGGTCGGTTCTCACAGCTGCCACGTGTTGCCAAAGCCGCACATTGACAAGGGCGGCCTTGAACCGCTTGAGAATGGCGGCGTACGCGTGCGGTTTGCAAGCGGCATGCAGCAGGATTACCTTGGCGTCATCTGCACGAGCCGCAGCCAAGAGCTTGTGCCGGAGCTCACGTTCACGAATGAGGAGTTGCAGCAGCGGGCGGAAAATGCGGAGAAATTCAGGGAGAGCCTTGCGAAGGCGGTGCGGTGGATGGAGTTGTGTGTACCTCCGCTGCCGGAGCTGGGGAGGTTTGAAAAGCGCTTCACGCCGGGGTCGCAGGAAATCGTTGAGCTGCTCACCCCGCGCGATGCCAAAATGACAGTGCGACCTACGATGATGGCGACGAAGTTGTTTTACAACGTCACCATCACCATCCCGGACGGCACAACAGACCCACGACTGAAGAGCACCAGCACGAAGCAGTTCTGGGATGATGTCGTCATGCACTGGACCTCCGGGGTGCCTGGGTATATTCCCCACACAATGTTCCGACCCATGATGACGCACATGCAGCAGCATTTTACGAAGAGTAGTGTATTGGTGTACCGTACCCCGCTTTTTCTCATGCCACACTGGTCAGAGGGTGGCGGCCGCGTCATAAAGATTGCACACGCCGCGCATGGCTCTGCATTTGACGCAATTGACGTGGGGGATGCACAGGGGTTCACCGACTGCTTTGGCCTTGCACGCACAGTGGCGGGGGGCGACGATGTGCAGCAGTTCCTTCGCGAGCGGCGACTACAAGTCATGGAGGAACTTGACTACCACGCACTGCTGCTGAATTACGGCGTGAAGGAGAGAGGACAGTTGGCATACATGTCATCTCGCTTTGCCATGAAAATTTTGCGACGGTACAAGAAGAGCTGGCGCAGCATTTTGCAAAACTACGTGACGCTGATGCCGAAGGTGGCGAAGTAACTGCCTTACGTACGCTTCGTATACCTTGAATACATTGTATTTTTTTTTTAAATAAAACACGCATACGTATATAAATACCTTTCTCTTTATTGTTTTATTTTGTCCATATGCATGTATAGTCTTTCTGCCTGTGTGCCAGAAGAGGTTTTATGGTGTGGAGCCCCCCCCCCCCCCCCCCTACAAAATGCGGCAACCAGAAGAAAAAGTCGCCTGGATGCGAGAGTGGAGGGAAGAGAGGGTTCTCTGCGTGTGTGTGTGTGTGTGTGTGGAGGGAGGGAGAGAGAGAAAGGAAAGACATGTTTGGTAAGTGTCTACAAAATTAGACGAAGATGGGGACGATACAAACAAATGAATGGGTTACTGAAGAATAGAGGGACGGGGTGAGTTATATACATATATAAATAATGTTTATGCGCATGTGATTCTGTTTCACTCTCTTGTTAGCGAGTTTCACGTCCCTTTTTTTCCTCCATATGCACACATTTGTGTGCACTAGCGCAGCGTTGTTTATTGTGTTGCATATTCCTTTTCTCTCGTTTCACGTTCGGAGAGGGAGAGAGAGGAGTGAGGGGAGAGGTTGTACATGCAGCGTGGGAGCCGTCAATTGTATGCCGTGAACAAATCGATAGGGCACCGATGGAGTGCTATCCCGGAGCCACCGCCTCCACACATGGATCGTCTCTGCGGGACGCATAGTGTACTCAACGCTCTCCGGGCCTTTTACAATGCAGTTGGGTGTCGACACCCGCACCGGCAGAAGCTGCATTGCCTGTTCGTGCGGGACTTCCGCCTTGCCTTGGGTGACGCAAAAGCATATGACACGTCCCATAGTCATGAGGAGGAGGATGGTGAGAGGAAGGAGGGGAAAGAAGGGGATTCTCATGGTGACGTTTGGGTGCCACACCAGTATCCAAAAATTCAGCGCATCGTGCGTCTTGCGCGGGCCATGCGTCTCGATATAAAGGCGGTGGAGCGGCGTGAGTTGGTGCGGCTGTGCGGGGAGCGGCGTAATCAGAACGTTGTACTCGAGGTGGCAGGCTACACGCCGTGGGATGTTGCGGCGTGTCCGTGGCCGAGTGGCGGTCGCAATGCTTCTGCTCACGGGAATAATGGTCACGATAACAAGGGGCGGTCTGGGCATTCGGGTGGTGGCGGTGGCGACAACGTGCTTTTCCTCGATCACGTTATCGACCCGGGCAATGTCGGTGCCATCATGCGGTCGGCGTTCTTTTTGGGCGTGCGGTGTGTTGTGTTGAGTTGTGACAGCGCTGGGTGCACCGCGGCAATGGCGCGGGCGAGCGCCGGGGTTATGGAACACATGGCTGTGTACCGTAGCGTGGTGCCCACCACAACTTTTCTGGAGAACACCATTGCCCAACACAGGGCTCGAGGAGACCCATGCAGTCTTGAGATGTATGCGGCCATCACAATGCCAATGGACGCAATCATGCGGAGCGGACGCCAAGCAAAAGGAGAAACAGAAAAAGGAGGAGAGCCGATGCGACGTCGGCTCCTATTGCTGGGCAATGAGGATAGGGGTTTGCCACCAGAGGTAGTGCGCCTGTGTTCACACGCCGTGCATATTCCTTCTCCTTGGATGCAGCAGTACGAGCGGCGGTGGCTACATCATGCAGACACAACAGCAACGAAGGGGAATTGTGCCAAGGGGAAGAACGGGGTGGTGTTGGAAGACGATGTTGTCTTGTTGCGGCCACAGGAGGTGTCGCTGAATGTGAGTGCGGCTTCTGCCATCATTCTCGCCACCCTGCTGGCCGGTGATCGAGTAGTTGAAATCCACCGAATTGGCTGATAATACGCGACACACATACATACATACATACAGTTGTCTGTAGGAGAGGGTGTGAGTGGAAATTACGGATACGAGCGGCTCTTCCTTTACTGTGGGCACAACGTTTTTTTTTTTTTTTGCTTTTACTTTTTCTTATTTTCTGCTCGTTTTTGCTGTGCGTTGGGGTGGGGCAGTGCCACACGCCGCACTCCACCGGTTTTTCAATCAAATACAAGGGAATAAGAAAGGCGGAAGGAACAGGAACAAAAATAACAAAACAAATTAGTCCGGGAGAGAAAGTGGAAGTAAACGAGAAGTGAAGAGGAGGGAGGGGGAAACAAAGTGGTATTGCCCGAAAAGAAATGCGCCCGCAGATAGCCCCCACAGCACTCTTTTCGCGAAGCCACAGGAGTGACGGGAGTGAAATGCAGCAGGCGCGGATGAGCTTTCCAGCGCCACCACAAGCGGTGACTCGCTGTTTCTTGGGAGATTCCCATGCCGGACGAGAAGAGGAACGACAGCCTCGGCATCGGCCGTTAAGGGCGATGGATCCAACCACAACAGAACCCTCTTTACCATTTTCAGCAGGTGTATCCTTTGCGGCTTTACGTTCCATTGCGGCATACTTGACGCCAGACGCGCCGCTGGCACTTGTCGCCTGCAGTCCATATGCCAGACTAGCCCTGGAGGTGCGGGAGAAGGGCTACGTGCTGCCGGGCAATCTCCGTTTTGAGCGACGACCGGGCCCAGCTGCTGCTAAGGATTCCGGGCAGTCGTCATGCAGTGAAACCAACGCCCAAACGAAAGGCAGTCACACTCGCAGAACCTCTATCAGTGATAGTGGAGGTAGCATTGTCGGGGAAAATTTGGTTTCAGACATGAGCGCCTATTTTTCACCGCCGCAGGAGCTTCTTCAGTTCTTGACATCACACAAAACATCCCCCTCTCGAGCGGCGTGCGGAGGAGCAGCTGCGCTGCGGCCACGACCACCGGCAGCAGCAGCAGCACAAGAAGAAGGAGCGGCGGCAAGCGTTGCGGCCATGGAGCGGACAACTACACGCGCTTCGGATAAGATAACTGCGGCAGCAGCAGCGCCAACAGAAACATCCACCTCCGAGGCGTTGCAGTACGCCCTTTGGTGGGTGCGGCGTTCTCCGCTTCCAGTGTCAATGAGCCTGCACAGTTTTGACGCGGATGAGGTGAGGTTGCTGACGGCGCAGCTACAGAGTCCGACACGTAGGATTTTGCTACGCGAGCTTTTTCTGCATGGCCAGCAAGTCTCCGACGTCACACCGTTTTTGCCACACTGCACAGATGTGAGGGCACTGGTGCTACGCAACACGCACTTGACGAGCGAAAAATTAGGTCTGCTTCCCCAAAAATGCCGCCATGTTGAAAGACTTTCGCTCTGCATGAGTTCCTCGGTGTCCTGCACGCGGTTCCTGCGGCACCGATCGCTTTGCGCGCTTCGTGATTTGGATCTTTCATACACTCAGGTGACAGAAGAGGGCATGTATCGTGACGTCTCGAAGTTAAATAAATTATCACGCCTGTCTCTCGAAGGGTGCCGGAAAATTGAAAGTCTCCAGTGGCTTAGGGCCCTCAACCAACTACGGGTACTGGATTTGGGCTACAGCAGCGTCACAGACGATAGTCTGACGGCGCTGCGTTTCTGTCCAGAGCTTGCGAAGCTCGATCTGCAGTGGTGTGGTCGTATTACCAGCCTAATGTGCCTCGTTGGCGCACTCTGCGATAGTCTGCGCGAGCTTAATCTCACTGAGACTTCCGTGACTGATGAGGGTCTTGTGCCTCTCAAAGACTTTGCTGCGCTGGAATGGATTTCGTTGGAGGGCTGTGGTGCAGTCTCTGATGTTAATGTGCTTTGCAATCTCACACGGTTGCGGGAGGTGGATGTGGGGCGCACGCGTGTCACAAACAGAGGTGTGGTGTCACTTTCCCAGTGTCAGGCACTGCGTGTCATGCGCATGCGGCAGTGCTATCGGCTGACGGATGCCAACTTCCTGGGGGCTTTGCAGCAGCTCGAGGAGGTGGACCTGTCGGATTGCCCCGTCACAAATGAAGGCATTGCGGCACTTTTTGGGGCGCGTTCTTTGCGGAAGCTGCGGCTGCAATCGTGCCACGCCGTAAACGATGTGAACTTCCTTGGCGGACTGGAGCACCTCATGCTGCTGGACCTGCACCACACAACCGTTGATGAGGAGGGATCTGTCGGCCTTGCACAATGCCCGCAGCTCATGACACTCATTATGCACTCTGTTCTTGTGCACTCACTGCAGCAGTGGAATGCTGCATTGTTTTTGCCGAGACTCAAGCGGCTTGACCTCAGCACCACCAAGGTGACGTCAGATGCCCTTTCGTTCCTGAGGATGTGCCCGGTCCTGGAAACATTGTCTCTTCGCGGGTGCAAGAACATCACGCACCTGGACTTCCTCATCCTTCAACCATCCTCTGGAACCGGTGTGTGCGCGATTGTTCCCCGCGACGTTGAACCACATGATACAGTCGGTGATATAATCGCTGGAAAAGAGAAGAATCCGGATGACGGCCCTTCTCCCATCGAGACGATGACGACAAACGACGGCGTCATAAAATCAACGGCAGTGGCAGCAGTGGTGAGCCGACACCGACTGCGAGAGCTCACACTTAGCGGCACGGGTGTGACAGACGAGGGTCTGCGAGCGCTTCAGTATTGTCCGGGTCTAGAACGTCTTCGGCTCGCACATTGCAAGAATTTTACCGACGTTGCCGTCTTGCGTTGGCTGTCGCAGCTGAAGGAGTTGGATTTAAGTGCGACAGGCGTGACAGGTAGTGGACTGGCAAAGTTGTCTCCAAGCGGTAACCTCCCAGCGCGCTGCATGGGGGGGCGGGAGTGGGAAGAGGAGGGAGGCGTTGCTGGCGACAAGATGACCGGCGTGCGGTGCATGCCTACTGGATGTGTCGCTCTTGAGAAGCTATGGCTTCAGTCGTGTCCTCATGTGGAGAACATACGACTGTTATGCGGATTTCCGCAGCTGAAGGAGCTGTTTCTTATCGACACGCCACTGCGACAACGAGGACTCGACATGTCGGTGCTATACCACCGCAATCCGAATTTAAAACAAATACACCATAGTAATATCACCATATTTGTCTGATAAATACAACCATTCCGCCGGGAATGCCACTGGCTCGGTGCTTTTATTTTGTATATTTTTTTACTATTGTTATTTATTTGTGTGCGTTTGTATTTTGCTTTTGTTTACTTTTCTCCATCTGCGTTTGGTTTGTGACGGCGCGTGCGATAATGTGACTGTGGCTCCCATTTCACGGTTGAGAAGTATGCATAAAAATGGGATGCGGTGGAGAGAGAAAGAGAGAGAGAGGGGAGGAGAGAAACGGCTGTGTCATTATGGTGAAGGGACAAACCACCGGGCATGTTGAAGATTTTTGACTCCGTGTGACAATGCCCTCACCGTTGGATGCGCTCTGCATGGGCACATCGAAAAGTAAAGGACGGAAGGAGGTGCCATTGGCTGCAATTACTTTTTTTGTCTGTGTTTTTCTCCTTCGAGGTGTGATTACATTGTGTGTGTGTGTTCTTGTTTGTTTTTTATACAATGACGAGTCTTTTTTCTATTAATGGATTCTATACAAAAGGATTTTGCATTTTTTTTGTTTTTGTTTTTTCTCTTGCTGTTTTGTGGGCACGTCGCTCTCTTCAACCTTTTCCGGCGACCATTTTTACGCTCCGCGCCCTGTGTTATCTGCGTGCTGTCCCCTAATCCCATGTTTGTTGCTTCTTGTGCGCTGTTCACGGAATTTTCTGGCCGGCTTTGCGCCGTTTTTGTTTCTTTTATTTATTTTTTTCTTTAATTTTCTCGCTTGCAGTTATTCACGCTGACGACATCTGCGTCGCGGGTGGGGGGATGACGAACGTCAGTCACGACGGCGGCGGCGGCCACTCCACCGCACGCACAGGGGTGGAGTCGACGGCAAATGAAGCCACGCGTAACTTCATTCTGGGCCTTCCCAAGGAGGGCCCTGCGCCGGGGAGCGCAGATGCGGCTTCCCTACAGGCAGCGGAGGCATTTGTGGGGGAAATACAGGAGGAGATCATGGCGTATGACATGGCCAACGCACGGGCCATGGAGACATACGCGCGGAGTCTTTGGGCGAAAATACCCTTTTTTGGAAAGCGGTGGGCAACTGAGACCAGCGCTGATGTTTTAGGAGGGACTCCGCCACTAGAAAGTCGCGGCAACGAAAATGTCAATACTGCCACAGCCACAGCTGCGGCTAGCAACATGAGGGGACAGTACCGTGTGGAGCGTACATCGGCGGAGGTGGCGGGTGGGAATAAAAGGCCCCCGCAGCAAAGGATGAACAGTTGGCTCTTCAAGCAGCGCCATCCCGGGTGGGTGCCGCTCATTCAACGCTGGTGGGTTCCTTGCGTCTGTGTGGCGGGCATTGTTGTCATCTGGACACCCGATGTATGGAAGCTACGGACGTTGTATTGGTGTGATTACAAGTACGCCCTCTTCCGGCAGGCCATTCACAAGGCATACTGGCGTGCAACGATGAGCGCAGAGGAGTATGAGCAGTTGATGCAAGAATTGGAGCAGGGACGACCGTTGTCTGCAAAGGCCACCAAATGCCCATTGTAAAGACATGCGAGAAGTATGGAAAGAAGGGGCAAACGAACGGGCCTACAGAGGAGACGTCATGAGTCGCATGGAATGAAGGCCAGTTGTGACATTTTGAACGGGTAAGAGCGGCAGAAGGGAAAGAAGTGGAAATACGAGGAGTAGAGGACACGTGTTTATGTGTGTTTTTGTCTATCTCCATGCGGTGCCCACAGAAGGAGTGGGAGGAGATGAAAACAAAGGAGTGTGTGATGGAGAGTCCTCCTCAACACAAGAAACAAAATTAAATCGAAAGCAAAGCAACAACAAAAAGCAAACAAACAAAGCAAAGGGGCGAGAACAAGGAGGAGTGGGAGCTGACGAGGCGAGGTGAAGGAAGAGGGGGATTGTACGTTTCCGTGTGTGTGCATGTGTGTAATAATTTATTCGCAGTGGTAGAGGTCATGGCTGTGCCGGTGAGTAAGTACACTTGACACCCGCAGCCAGGCATCCATGCATGCCAGCGGTGAAGAGGAGGAACAGGCATACACACAGACACACACAAAAGAAAAAGGAGCAACAGTGAAGTATGCGTTTGTGTGGTGTGTGTGTGTGTGTGTATGCACTCCTGTTTTGCACATGATGCGTACAATTGAACAAAGTCATCGCCAGCTACAAGGAAAAAACTACCATCAACCATGAGGAACATTTCTCCGCGCTGTCATTTCCATTTTTTTTTCTTCTTTTGGAGAGGCCATTTATTTGTTTATTTCTCCTCTCTTTTTTTCCCTATTGCCACTTGTGTATGACCCTCTTTGAATTTCTTTTTTTTTTTTGGCTCGGCTCCCTCTTCGCAGGTATTCACACGGCTACTTAACACCTTAACTCCACCCTAACCCTAACCCCCTTTTGTGCCCTTGAGAGAAGGGGGGCGGCGAAGGGGTCTTCCTTGGATTCTCACACATACACATACACACATACTCTCTCTTTCTTTCTGCTTTTCTTCATGTGTTCACGTGACTGCCTTCTTTATGGCGTTTTCTTCTTTTTTTTTTCTCTCACTGCCATTGCCTTCTGTTGTGTGATGGTGGCTTCTGCAACCTACCCTTTTTTCGGCTCTATCTGTGGGTGGATGTGTCAAGTGAACATTTGTAGTGCCCTCCCTCTTTCTGGTTGTGCGATTTATTCATCCCGCCGTCCATATTGCGTTGATTCACACACGGCCAGTGTGTGTGTGTTATTCGTCCCGCCACTGCACTATCGTGTCGGTGGAGCTGCCAATAAAAACGAATTCGCGGGGGGTTCTCTGAGAGGTGAGTGTGAGATTGTTTGTTTGTGTGATGGAGACACCCTCAGAGTCGACATTGCCGTCCAATGTGGACAAGGCCGAAATAATTGCACCGCGTGGTGGTGAGGCCTGGGCCATAGACTTCTCATTGCCAAGGGTGCGGCGAAGGATCACAAGGAAGGAGCGTGATGCTCTCATCTCCAGTCGCATACGGCAGCAAATGCAGCAGCTGCAGCGGCCCTCATCAGGGGCGAAGAAGAAAGGTGAGGGAGAAATGATGCGAGTCGGACAGGCAGCGGACAGCGAAGATAACCGACACATGCGGATTGTAGCCGTTGATGGTATGGCAGACCTTAGTGATCTGGTGCCCCAAAACCTCACCACCACACGTGAGGACTTGGAAGAACGACTTTGTCTGCGTCTCCCACGCCTACTCAGTGTGACAAAACAATATCCAAAGAGCTGCGGTGTGTCCTCGCTGGCGTCTATATGGAACTATCTCTACACACGTCTGGGCGAGGCTGATGTGGGCGTCTCTCGTGCGCCTGTGGCGCAGGAGGAAATCATGACCATTCTTGGCTTTGCGCCGCCGTTTGATGAGATTTCGTGGGGCCCTTTCACAGGCAATGGGACCCTCTTTCGGTGGTTTCATGCCATCAACCGCCACTTTGGCGTTAAGGGACGGGCGTACATGTTGTACAAGCCTCAGGGAAAGGGTCGTACAAGCTGTACAGCGGAGGAGGCCCTACGGGAGCTAAAACGCGTTTTGCGTGACCCCCACGCTGCGGTGGTGTACCATTGCCACAACCACTACATGGTGCCCGTTGGATATCAGGAGATTCCACTGGCGCAAACGGATTTTTACGCCCCGCAGGTGCCGGAGTTGAATACGGAGACGACTATCTTTATAGGTGAGGTGAGTCGTGGTCGGCACGAGGCAATGTACGCGAGAAAGTGGAGCGAAATTGTGAAGGACCTCATGTGCCGCTCCCCACAGTTTTACAACATACGCCGGCCAGAAATGGGAATACAGACACGCGTGCCGAAGAAGAAGAATAATGATGCGAAGGGCGATGACGATGCGGCAGCGGCAACGGCGGCGGAGCAGCAGCGGCAGCAGGGTCAGCGGGAGAGCGAGACACCCGTCAGCGCTTTGCCTCCACCACCAACATCTCTTTTTGAAGCGAAAATTGCCCCTGTTGCGAGCGGCAGCGAAACGACAACAACGGCCGGGGCGGGCACAGGGAGAAAGAAAAAGACGGGAGGGGGCAACTTGCACTGCCTGATTTGCTTCCGCAGCGACGAAGTGGAAGAGCACCCGGAGCGCTACGAGGATCCTTCCACCGACTCAAACAGCAGCAGCAGCAGCAGCAGCAGCAGCAGTAGCACTGAAAGCGACAACAACGAGAAAGAAGGCATGGATGATGTAGAAGCAGAGTAGTTCTGAGAATTTTTCTTTGTGATAGATGCTCTTAAAACCATCAGCACGGAGACTAATACTGATCTGGTGGCCATTTTAAATGCATGCTACTCCCACCAAAAGGAGGGGAGGATGGATGGAGAAGCCGCAATGAGCAGCTGCACACACAAAACTAAACCAGTTGGAGGAAGCAACAGACACAAACACGCCAGAAAAAAAAAAGAATCAAAAAAGTGTGGCGGTGGGTGGATTTGATTTGTTGCTTTTTTTTGATTGTTTGGTTTGTTTGCTTTTTTTTTTCTTTTGCTTTTAAATCATTTCTACGTCAGTTTTGTGCCCTCATCTCCATACTTTCTTCTTTTTGATAAACCCCTTTTTTCTCCAACGAGAATAAGAAGGACGTGCTCTACTCATGCATTGTATATACCTGTGTGTGTATATATATTTCTGGCTTCTCTGTGTAACTGCACCTCCGTTGTGTTTATTTTCTTTACTAGTGGAAGAAATAGGTACAAAAAGAGGGTCCATTGGATTCATACATCCATAATTACACATTTATTATACACGGGGAAGGGAAGGCTTGATATCCTTTCTTTCTTTGTGTGTGTGTGCGGTGGGGACTACAATTCCTTTACTTACATCTACGCATATATACATCTCTACTTCTGCCTTCTATCGGTTATATCCGTGGGGAGCAGGGGAGAGTAGCAGCCGCAGGCGCTGGAGGTGTAGATGCGATCGCGCAATCCTGAGGTGCGCGCTGCTCGCATCCGTCGTCGCCAAAATGATGCGAGGGAAGACGACCAGAACGGCAATGACGGTTATGCTGGTAGAAGTAAACGTGGCGGTGCTGGGGGTGTGCTTGCTGCGGATGCGGCACAACTCATGGCGCGTATGCGGCACCGCTCAGAGGAGCGCCGAAAGGCAGAGGTGCGTGTTGGCGAGCGTGAGGGCTGGATCAAGTCGCGCTACGCCGACATTTCCGGCGGTGTGCGGTTTGTCAAGGATGAAGTCCTTGCGGAGCTCATTGCGGAGACGAAGTCCAGCTTTCTCAGACTGGACCAAGAGCTTTCCGAGGATCACAACATTGCCACAAGGCGCCTACATGCCGCCGTCTTTGCACACACCACGGATTTTTTGCAGCTCTTCCGTGATGTGAATCGCGCGAGTAATTTAATGGAGAGTTTAAAGGGCCGCGTGCAAGGAACGAAGGCCGCTATATCTGCTATTAGTAAATTCAGTACGTACGCCGCTGGGGCTGCTGAGGAGGACAGCCGTGCCGTCTCGGAGGTGTTTGGTGTGTCACTTCTTTTTGGCGGTGGCGGTGGTGTCAACAACAGTGACACCGGCCCCGTTATTTTTGGTGGAAGAAATAACAATAACAGGAATAATGTGAAGGCGCGGGCGAGACCGAGTCTCATTTCTTTGCGGCTTACATGGGGGGGCAATGCTTCCCACAAGACATTTGCCACCCACGCAAGTGCTGACAGCAGTGACGCTGATGTTGTCCGCCACCACGACGGGAACAGGAGCAGTAATAGCGATGCTGGCATTTATACTGGCGGCGCTCATCTGGTGGCTACAACACGGTCGCTCAATACGCCGTCGGTGCGGCTCTGGCGTGACGCGACACTGGCGGCCGGTGGCACGTCTGCCTCGATGAAGCGTCATTCTCACGTGCGGTTGGATTTGGATCGAAATCTCGGGATGCCGAGTTCACAGGACATCGCACTCTTTGCGGATGTGCTGAAGGATGAGGTAATTCAACTCTTGGCAGGGCGGCAGTATCTTGAGGCGGCGGAGTTGTTGCGTGGTGTGGAGGAAACGGCTGTTGCAAAGGGATGTCTACCACTTATTTTAAGGTTAGAGGATATGCTCGTGACTGCCATACGAACACACTTGCTCCGTGTGCCGATGCCTCTCATGTACAGTGAGAGTTTACATATTCCTCTGATTCAGTTGCTTCTGCGTCTTGGCAGAGTGCACAAGGGGACAAGACTGTTTTTCCAGCTTCACGCCGCGTGGGTGGATGCTGAGATGGATAAGATGCAACTTCGCATGGACCCGCTGTACGGTGCGTTGATTGCCAGTGACTTTCTCGTTGGGGCAGTGCAAGAGGTGTTGCTACGACAGCAAAATTTGTGGAACGCTGTTGGCCTCAAGGCCGAGGGAAAGAATTCTGATTATAGTCTTGAAAAGGACGAGGGGAGTGGGAAGAAGGGGGATAAGGTCTCACACGGCGCCACCACGACGATTACTTCTACTAACAACAACAACAAGGGTAGCAGAAGTACTGGATACAAGTTTGACGGCGATGAAGGTGGGATTGGTAAT